TGCACCACAAAAAAAAAACAACACACTGGCTGTTGTCCTCATGCACAACTGGTTATATAGCTGCAATTAGTCAAAACAGGTAAATAAAAGTAAGTAGTTTAGTGATACTAGTTCATAAAACGGACAGCTGAAATTGTGGAGGCTGAAACAAAGGACCCACTTTACTACGGTGGTAATAAGGTGTTTGTGTGTGTATTTATGTTTGTGTGTGTATTCTAACTGTTAACATTTTATTTCCTGGGAAATGTGGCTTAGTGGTAGAACCCTTGTTTAGTGCATACAAGGCCCTTGCTGCAAACCCAGTGAAAAGAAAAAAAATTAGGACATCAGATTCCACCTTAAAAGTACCTTATAGAAACTGTTGATTTTTCCTTTCAAACAACAAAAGTTAGGGACTAAATTTCCCTTTAAATGTCTCTGTCAAAATGGAAGTAAAAATAAGTTATCTGAAACTATTAAAGTTATTGTCTGGTAAACTGATTCAATCCTACAAATACACTGGCCATTTCAGCCCCTTCTGACATCAGTAATTCATCTTGGCGACTGAGTGAAACAGCTGAAGGACAACTGGGAAAAGCAGAGTTTCTTGGGGACGGTGAGGAGAAAAGATGCAAGTACCATAGCATGGGGTGTCCAGCTTACACACACTGGCCAGGTCTCTCACTAGTCCTTTGTCCCTTTATAGAAGACACTTCAGAGACAGCCCCCTGCTTTCCACCATGCGCCAGAGCAGTCAGTAGCACTAGCCAACTTCATCTGCAAACAGGACTCGGGAGGCAAGGTTACACTTGACTCTGAAAACCCAGCATCTAGGTTGGCAGCATTTCTCTGAAAACAAATCAGATCCACAATTTGTTTTTTCTCACTGAGTTAGTACATGATTGCTGCCCAGCACACACTATTTCAAAACTAAACTACAGCAGTATCTTAAAATGTCAAACATTTTGTATAAAAGTTCCATGCTTTGAAGAGCCTATGAGAGTAGAAAAAGTTTCTCTAGAAATGTCACTGAACTGTATTTTCAGCCTAGTTGCTCTATGTGGTAAATATTTCTGGCTATACTAGGGATTATGTGCTTTAAAAAAATATTTTACTGAAAATTTACCATTTTCTTATTTTTTAAATGTGAATTGGCTATAAACTCTTTAGTGCATTTATCTTCGCAGTCTAAATTGCACTCTAAAAAATATTATCACAGCTGAGTTAAACCAGACTGGCCATTCTCTTCATAAATCACGGGTTTCTGCTAAAATGTTAGCTGTTTTATTGCATCATGAAGGCACAGTAAGATCATTTGGCAAATTGTCAAGATATTTTTCTAGAGCCTCCCTACACTGTTTCACTCCTGTAAGCCTCCTGGTGTTTCTACTCACAGTGAACTCTCCCTCTCTGGCTACGGTTTTAAAAATAGCTTATTGGTTGACTTCTGCTGGTCAAGGTGCTGATATACTAGTACTAACAATGCCAACGTAGACAAAAAAGAGAATCTTATGAGAAAAAGGGTATCCTTCTACCTCTTAGCTGGGCAGTCTCTTCAGATGAGTATTCTGTGTATGTGACAAAGCTGCGGCCAACTCACTTTGAAGGCGTATAGTTTTGCCAAACCTACTACTGAAAAGTAGAATTATATCATGGTTAGCAAAGTGTTACCATAACTACTTAACTTCATGCGACTGACTTAAGGTTAGGATTCTGAAATATAGTAAGCAGACTCTGGCACCAATTCCAACAACAGATACTCTGAGCCTCACCTTTAAAGTAAAATATCTTTAAACAGTATCACTGCTTAAATGTATAATGCCCTTTAGGACTGAAACAGGTGCTCGACTACAAGTACACATACACGTTAAAATCTTACATCGTCCTCATGTTCTAGAGCTCCTGACTTTTCATACTTTAAAATAAATAACCATTCATTACCTCATTCTGCGGAGGTAGTTTTTTGAAAAGGTCACCTGAAGCCTGAACTGTGTTTCCAACTAAAGCTAGACACTGAGCTTTCCAAGAGGCTGGAGGCGGGTGTGCGGTGGGGACAGGTGAGATCTGCAGAGGGACAAACAGCAGCTCTGACAGTGCCTGACAAGCATAAGACAACATCATGTGATAAAAGGGGCAGGGCTGCACCAAGACAGGAAGTATTTATAAGGTTCCTGGTTGACGGTGCTGAAGTCTTAATAATGTCTTTACAGAATGCTTTCCCCCCATACCAGCATAAATCTAGCATACAGTTTATATCAGATTGTTGTTTAAGATGCCTCATTATGCACTCCCTGACCTCAAATATAGAAATGGGCTGTTCAGGAACCAGAATCTGACAAGTTACAGAGAATCTTCGTTGAAGATGCATATAAGTACGAATGATCACATTGGATATTCTAGTTGCAAATTCCTTCTATAGACTACATTTTGAGGTTAATAATATCTCAGTGGTAGAGTTTGGGTCCTGTAGCTTAATAGTGAAAAAGTCCATTAGGAATACTACTCATTTAAAAACAGTTCTATATAGTTGCACTCAAACCTTTCAAAGACTTCACTCCAAACAAAACAAAACAGATCTCATGAGGCGATGCAGTCGCATCATGGCCCGACAGCTTCAGCCTTCCTCCTGGAGTGAAGCCGCCACATTCTGTCACTCAGAAAGTGCTCTGCACAAACAAGGACTGCCTTGTATTTTTTGAGGAGCTCAACAAGATTATCTGCAATCTAAAAAAAAAAAAAAAGAAAAAAAGAAAAAAGAAAAAAGAAAAGAAAAAAACCCACAAAAGAAACCTTTTTTTATATGTTGTTTGTAGATGAAAAAAAAACATAGTTGATAGAAAATAAGAAGGTTTAAATATTTATTTCTATCTTTTATATTCTCTATTAAAAAAAAAATCTCTCAACACCCTGAGCCTGGTTTCTGGGCACAACTTCATTTAATATCAACTCTATTTTCCCTTTTCAAGTGAGACACCAACCTATCCTAAAATGAGAAGAAGGAAATCTGTCTGTTTGCACTTTGTCTAGACTACTCAATGCTAAGCTCCTTCCTTGAGTGCTGGCCCCATCTTCCAGCACTGAGGTGGCCCTCCACCAAAGCAAGCCCTGAAGGCTCTCACTCCTCAGCAGGACCTCAATGTGTATCTGTGGCCCAAGCCTAGCTCTTCATAGCTAATCCTGGGTAAAGGGAACAGACCACATTAAAGAGCATTTACAAGGGTAACACCACCTTTCCACGTGGCACATCATATGGAGAGGCTATTTCTCATATCAAGTATAGTATCTTCTTACCTTTGAAAAAATTTAAGACTTTGCTCTATTTATGTAAGACTTAAAAACACGCTGTTGCTAACTGGTTAATAACTTCAGAATATTTTCCAATTTACTGGGAATATATAAAACTTCCAATAGGCCTTCCTTTGATGACATTTTCGTTTTTACTTTTTATTATCAACTAATTTATTAATTATGTTTTTCGAGATAGTGTGTGTGTGTGTGTGTGTGTGTGTATCTGTGTGTATCTCTGGCTGTCCTGGAACTAGTTCTGCAGACCAGGCGGGCCTTGTATTCACAGAGCTCCACCTCACTCTGCCTCCTGAGCTGCTTGGATTAAAGGTGTACACTACTACCACTATCACCGTCAGGCAATAAGTTTAGCAAAATTTCATCTAACTACTGTAAGTAGGCTTAAATACATAGTGGTATCAATTATAATTTGAATTTTAAAAATAATTCAAAATTTCATTTTATTTTAGATTCGATAGTATTTTTTTTTTTTTAAACTTCTTGGCTTGAAGTTGCTAAGTGCATCTCCTTTAATTTGCATGTTTAAATCCTGGAGATTCAAGATTCCTGGATAAAGAGAGGTACTGGCCATCAATACATCCAGTTATTTTCTTTACTACAATGATGATTTTTATATTAGCTTTAAGTAAAGGCTAAGGGAAGCTGTGACGAGGTTATACTTTTGATCTGTGCAAAGATAAGATTTAGGGTTCTGTAAGAATAACTGGGGACAGGCCTCACGCTTTTCTATACCTCCAAATGTCCCTAATAGTTCTAGTTCTACCTAGGGAACTCAGTTACTAAATGACCCAACCTTTTGAAGACCAGGCTTGGGGAAAAAAGGAAGAGGAAGAATGAATGGAGATACCACCACTTTTATTTTAGGTTGCATACTATAGATAAGAGACTAGAAAGAGGGTGTAGGATGCAGTGTGGGAGGTAAGTTGGAAGAAACAATGGGACTGTTAGCAAAGATGTTAGTGTGGATCCAGCAAGTACCATTTATTTAAAAAGTATAAATAATTGTCATTATGCTAAGATTCCCCATAATTTTAGGTAGAGAAAAGGATAATAATTATTCTTTAAAAGTTGTTTACAATTAACAAAAATATAATTTTCAGGGTATATAGTCTTGTGGGAAGTAGTCATTTATTCCAATTAAACCTGAAAATTATTTTCTTCTTTTAAATAAAAATACAACAAACTCAGAAATTAAAACCTGTACCTTACATTTAAATTACACAAATGTCTCACATTCAAAACTGTCAGTAAGCAGTTTTGTAGGCTTTTAATTAGGTGTTGTCCATGGTGTTTTATGTCCTGGACAAAGGAGCCATGTAAGTATTTGGTGACTGGAAGAGCTGAGAGGAAGATATGGACTATATTTTCCTGAGAATTTGCTACGCTGTGGAGGAAACAATCCCCCAACCCTCTCCTCAATTGCTGGACCCAATGAGAAAAGCAGGCAATGTGTGCCAGCACTGACCAGCCTGAGTGTTAGGCGGAGCCCAGTGAGCAAGGCAACCCAAGGTGAGAGAGCTGGAGGTGAGGAAGAAGATGCAGCATCCCCTTTTCTCTGCCCCCAAGGCAGTCTCTCAACTGTCACCCACCACTTCAATTTAAAGAGCTTCACTGTGATCGCATTTGCTGAGGACTGAACAGGTGCTACACAAAGGGTATGCTGCATTTACTCCATCCCTCAGAAATGAATGTGGTGGATAGGGACAGTGCTCCACAACATAATCCCCCAACAGGCAAGAACGGTGCTTGGTGATTGAAATTGCCCCCTCAGATGACCAGGCACCAACTGATCTGGTGGTTAGAAGGGCAAGGTTGACTGGCAGATAGTCCAGAGCAATTTTCCCAAGCTGCAGCAGCAAATTCTTTCCATCATGCCTGACCACCAAAAGGGCAGAATTCAGGTCTCTCCTCTTTCTTCTTGGGAATGGGCAGACTTGAATGCACGTGATATTTGTGTTGAAGAAGAAACACGGGCAGCAGAGAATTCTGGTTCCTAAAACATTCTTCCCTCTTTAGTTGAATAGGAAATTCCATTCTGTTCCACACGAGCTTATGCACTGAAAATTTTGTATCTTTGAAAAAAATTTGAGGAACAGAACTGTGTTTTGATGTTAACAAATTGTATGAACACAAGACTTAAGAAATAAAGAGTAGGTGCTGCCGTGATGGAGTGGCTACTTGAAGGCTGCAAATTCTCCTGTAGAGGGAGGACAAGAGCTGATTTTAAAAAGTCATCTCGAAAGAACTTCAAGACAGAAAAGCCTTATTTGGATCTCACTGAAAGGTGATCAGTTACATATCTTACAAACCTTGTAACACAGTCACTAGTTTAAACCTCAAGTCACTGGAATCCACAAAAGAACAGTTCTGCTATATCAAGAAAACAACAAGATCCAGGGAAGGTCACAGCTGGGTGTCATGCTGCAGGTCAAGCCGCAAACCCACAGCTTTGGGAGACCTCACACACACAGTCATCTTCCTACTTTGCCTCTTCAGTATTGGGATGGTAGGTATGTGTTACCTTGCCTGGCTCTAAATAATTTTTTTTTTTTTTTTTAAGACAAGAGTTTCTCTGTGTGGTCCTGGGTGTCCGGGAACTAGCTCTGTAGACCAGGCTGGCCTCAATTTACAGTCTGTCTCCAAGTGCTGGGATAAATGGCATGACCTGAGTCATCTTGCTAGCCCCAGCTTCTTGACTTTGTAAATGTTGTCATTGATTTTTTTATTTTAAAGAATATCTTGCTATACAGATGACCTCAAACCCCTGACCTTCTGCCTTAGACTCCTGAATAGTAGTACAACTGATATTTTTCGCTTATCTGTAAATAACCTCTCCAGTGTTTCAAGTTTTAATAATTAAAGTTTGCTTTCCTAAGCTGAATACAACTAACTGGCTTACAGACAGTCATACTATCTCTTTCCATCAAGGATTCTTTTTAATGATTAAATAACAAAGGCATCATTGAACCAAAAGACCAAAGAAGGAAGCTAGGCATAGTAGTTCCTGCTTGTAATCCCAGCACTTGGCAGGTAGTGGTAGGAAAATTCAAAGTTCCAGGCTAGCCTGAGATGTACAGTGAATCTGTTTTACAGATGGGCAAGTAGTAAAGTGGTCAGGAAACTTGCCCAAAACCACACAACTTAAAAATAAATAAATAAATAAATAAAAACGGCCTAGAACAGAGCATTAGGGTATAGTCCTTTATGAGAAAAAAACAGAGCTCTTGGCAAAATAATACAAAACAAAAATAGCACCACTAACATTAATACACAGAAAGGGAAAGCAATTTAACTCTAGTGCTTCCAATTTCTGTGTCTATGTTACCTACAAATTTTACCTGCCATATTTGAATATTCTTTTGGCTTTGCCAGTGAGCCAAATGGGGAGGGGAAACTCAATGACTATGCATTCTCTGGGGTACTGCTTGAGTGCCTATGGAACTGCACAGGAGTTTCTGAGCAGCTTGAGAGAGCTTAGCAATGCCAATGGTGACGATGAGCTAATAAAGAAAGGAGAAAAGAAGAGGAAGACAGGAAGGAAGTGAAGGATGAAGTGTGAATGAGTCACATGAAGACGGTAGGGCATGAGTGGTGGCAGAGTGGAGGAAGACAAGGGACGATGGCAGGAACACACTAGTGAGACAGGTATGCTGGGAGTTAGAGAAAGAGCTCCATTACAAAAATCCTTCCATATTCTGTGTTTCATATGCTTAAAATGTTTGAGTATTCTATGGACCAAGTAAATGTGTAAAAACTTCGTTAGCTACATACAACACCGCCTACCAATAAACTCATCTTTATGGCACCAAAGATTTAGAAATCCTGAGTTTTGATGGTTTCTAATGTATTACATTGTGTTATCATCTCCTTTTCCCCCCTCATTTCCTTTTCCCATGCTGGTGATCAAACACTATGCAAACACTTGCACATTCTATAAAGTAATCTACCAGTGAACTATATCCCCAGTCCTAAGTTTTCTGAGACAGGGTCTTTATGTAGCCAGTCCTGCCCTGAAGTTAGTTCCACTGAGCTGGTACGTTTTTTGTTTGTTTTGTATTTTGTTTTTATATGAGAAAGGTTCTCTTATTATTTAGAATCATGAATCAGCATATAAGATTTCAATGGCATTCTTAACTTATCCAAATGAGAGACAAAGGCAAATCATAATAATTAACAGGTGGTTTCCTTATAAGAAATCTAACAGTACAGGGAAAGCAACGATTTCAAAAGCTTGTCTGCGGTACTTACAAACTCAATTGTCATTAAAGTTTTCCCAATTTCCTGCTTTATTGTTTTCAAAGGAGGATAACATGTATGCAAATATGGTCTGTCTGTTGAATAATTTTGCTTTGGGTTGTATTTAAGCATCATCACAAGTCTAAATTGAGTAACTAAATATCAACAGGCTTTGGTCTTTAGACCACATGATAGCACTTTTCTGCTTTTAGATTCTTTCCAAGTCACAGGAAAATTATATTCCATCCTGGTTATATCACATTCATTTTCTATACATAAAAAATGTAAACATTAGAGGTACATGACACTGTGGATGGGATCTTCCTAGACAATGACTATCAGGAAGAAAGTTTGTGAGACACAGGCTCAGTGACTGCTGACTGCTGTAAAAACACTGAAGAGGGAGGATAACCTAATAACCCAACAGCCCATTACTTGCTTGTTTGGCAACCAATTATCTAAAGAAGTAAAGCAAAAATAAAAAGCAAACACCTTAAAGATCCTCATAATTTTGTAAAGTTTTCTTTTGGGGAAGGAAGTGAGAATAAAGGGTAAAAGAAATTTGCAAAAGAAATTTGACTTTTACACATGTACAGCATCTTTAACATAAATATCATCTAAGAAGAGCCTTAACTTGTACTTCTCCACTAAAATCCAACATTAAGTCATTTACCTAAGTCAAAAGTGCCGCTGTGCTATTTTTGGCACTCACATCCACAATTTACTAAGGGACATTATCTATTGCTTCAAAGAAATAAAGGGCTTCCACACACTCTAAGTAAAAAGAAATGCCTACAGGAGAATGTAAAGGATAAGCCCGGGATGATTTGTTCTGTTATCTCAGTTCACACCGCTGACAGAGGCTAGCCCACTGTGTCCTTCCTAACTGTGAACATGCAGAGGGAAGCCTTCCTCTGGGTCCCCGTGACGAGTGAAAGTTAAGAACAAGAGCTGCATGAGCAAACTGAGAGAGAGACTTTGAGCTTAACAGCTGGACCCCCAAGTGGAGAAAACAAACTCAGGACAGGAAGTAATACCTCTGCAAGGGCACTGAAAATGTTTAGCAATGTTTGTGCATTTTCATCCATTGATGTTGAAAACTCAATGTTCAGCATCATTTTAAGATTTGGAAAGGAATTGCTAAGTTTTTAAACACAAACATTCTTTGGCTCACCTGTAAATAACAGAGTATACTACTTAATTTAAACCTAAAAAAAAAACCATTCACTTGTTTGTGTTGCTGCCTGACTCTAATGTCTCACTTATTTAGGTTGTTTCAGTGGACGGGAAACCCACCATATCCCCCTGCTTGGATGGGTGTTTTCGGAGAAGCACAAGCGTACAGACTAAAGTCTTCTGTTTGGAAACCAGCCCGATTCAAGGAGGGTTCTGATGCACTGCGGTGAATTTTTGGCAATGAGCGGGCCAGCAGCTCAATGGAGGCGAGAATCTGTAAGAAAGAAGAAAGAGGTGGGGGAGGGGACAAAACAGAAAACAAGAAAAAGCAGAGTGCAGAATAAACATCTGGGTAGTATGAATTTTTAAGAGCTCATTACATTTAGAATGAGATTTTACTTGAGCATTGTTTGCAGTTTGATTAATGAACAAATAGAAACTGGGCATTTGCCGGGCGGTGGTGGCCCACGCCTTTAATCCCAGCACTTGGGAGGCAGAGGCAGGCGGATTTCTGAGTTCGAGGCTAGCCTGGTCTACAGAGTGAATTCCAGGATAGCCAGGGCTACACAGAGAAACCCTGTCTCGAAAAACCAAAAAAAAAAAAAAAGAAAAAGAAACTGGGTACTTTCTCATCAGTCTTGAAATGAATGTTAAGTAAAAACTAATTACAAACCTAAAACTCTGGATCTAGGGGATTTAATACTTTCTTTTGTTCTTCCTGGGTACTTCAACACACATGCACGCATACCTATACCCACACACAAATCTTTTTAAAGAAGATATTAGGTCTTGTAGCATACACCTTTAATCTCAGTACCCACTGAGGCAGAGGCTGGTGGATAACTGTGAATTTCAGGCCAACCCAGACTACAAACTGAGTCCTGGGTCAGTTGAATTAAGACCCTTTATATAGCATACAGTTATAGTATGAATATAATAAAAATAAAATTAATAACATAATACTAATATATAATAATATATGAATATATAATTAAAATTTTAATAACTACATAAATAAAAATGTTTAAAAACCTAGCATAAACAAAATTTATAATCTGTTTTTTTTTTTTTTTACTATCAAGAATAACCCCCAGTCAAAAGTATAAGTAGAAAGTAAACCATTAGAGGCAACATAGTGTAAGATACTGAAGCACAGTGAGTACGAAACAGAGAATCCAAGTGTATTCATTGTATAAAAACAATAGGGGAAAAAACAAGTCAATACCACTCTCATTCATTATCGTCACTGTTTATAAACTCCTAGTGTTATTTTCATTAGTTGTTTTCACTTATCTGAAAGGATCTAAGAACAAAAGGTCTGAGAACTATGGCTGGGGAGATGGCTCCCGACTGCTGCAGCTCCAGTCCCAGGGGCTTTCTTGTAGCCTCCAGGGGTATCAGGCACACAAATGGTACACACATACATATGCGAGCAAAACACCCATTCACAAAAAATAAAATAAAATAAAATAAAATAATAAAATAATCTTTTAAGGTTATTCTAGGAGTTTGAGAACTGCAGGACAAATGCACAGTCCTGCTAAAGAGCTTGTATTGGAATCCCACACTTCTTTCAGCCTTCATAAAGTCACTGCCTTGTTTGCTCATCTGGATCTGCAGGGTCCCAACTCAAAACCCAAACTGTATCCCTCCACTCCCCTGCATCACACTAAAAAGCTGCATATGAAGATTATGCAGTGAGTAACTTTGGGGTGTCAGATGTTTTTCTTACTTGGGGAAAGAGTGGTCTCTCGTCTCTTTTCTTTTTGAGGCACTCTGCCATTAATCTCTTCATGGCTTTTGGACAGTTACTCCGTACCTTACTGAGATCTGGAGACAGGTATCCTCGTCCCACCATAAAAATTATCTGAAGGGAAATAGGCAAATCATAAATTCTTATTAATAAACAGAAATTTATAAGTAATGAAAATTTAACCAACTATATATTTATGACATTTGTACTTTCCCATATGTACATTAAACTCTGATAAGCTAAAATAAAAAACAGTGCTAATGTCTGGCCTCCTAATCCATCACAAACTGTTAGGAACCCTTATCAACAAGCAAGTTTGTTTGTGGCCCCAGCCCCATAGCAAACCCTCCTAATGAATTAATCCCTGGTGCTTGTACCACTCCTTCTCTAGTGTCCCACTGACCAAGTGTGCAGGGACATGCTGATGAGATGGTACTTCTTACTTCCTTTATAAACGATTACTGAATACCATTTGTTGTCGGGACCCATGGCTGCTAAGTCCTTTATGCATGTGTAGCAGGGAACAAAACACTTAAGCACTTTACAGCAGTCACTTGGCAGCTTCAGTAAAGCACTTTTGTTCTAGAAAGTCACTTGAGCCACTTAGTTACACCATCAAAGGCAGAACAGCCTCCAGAAGAGAGGTGGACAGATAGATGAGGCTAAAATCTCCTGTCATGTCTTCATTAGAGTTTTTCTAATTTCTTCAACTTTTAAATTTTTGGCTCCTTTGAGGGTGGGCAGAGCCAGGTTAAGAATATTGTGTCTGAGGGAAGAGGGGACCCAAGAGAAAGGATTTTGAGAGGAGCAGATTAGAGGCTAGCATGAAAAAGGTGGAACTCCACTGTAGACAGGGCTGATGGATTTTAGAAATGGTCATATCTGCCGGGCGGTGGTGGCGCACGCCTTTAATCCCAGCACTTGGGAGGCAGAGGCAGGTGGATTTCTGAGTTCGAGGCCAGCCTGGTCTACAGAGTGAGTTCTGGGACAGCCAGAACTACACAGAGAAACCCTGTCTCGAAAAACCAAAAAAACAAAAAAACAAGAAATGGTCATATCTGAAAGGCATTTCCTGTTTGATCCAGAACTTCATTTATTAACCTGTAGTAGAGCTTTACTTCAGTGTTGTCTCTGTGATACAAGTTAAAGAAGAGAACCTGGGAATACATTGGAGAAATAGGAGATAGGTAATAACTCAGAACATGCACTTAGGAGGTGCATCAAGAGGAAGAGGCTGGCCTGCCACCCCCCCACACCCCACACAGGACAGCAGTTCAGATAGCTTATATTCCTAGAAAAGGTATGAAAGGTATATACACACACGCACGTACGTATGTATAAAAAAATCCTGGAAGCCTAAAAATCTGGGGCTTTTGGACTATATATAATATCTATTTTGATATTAGAAACAATTCCCCGAGGTGTAGGAATTGATCCTATGTTTCAGATTAGGTATTCAGTGCTCAAAAATCAAAAACCAAGGTACTTGCCCAAAATAATATAGTTAAGAAAGTGACAACAGTAAGTGGGAGAAGACCATGCAGATACAAATCCTGCTCTGCCTGCGGTGACTTCCTGTGCTCTCCCCAGCGGATCAGGAATCTGGATAAAGCAAGGCCTAATTCAACTCTACTCTTGCTCATCGTGTATTCCTCCTTCTAAATTTCTGCATCTTCAAACATGAGAACGTTCTCTCCACCGACCCTGCAGTGAGCATC